AATATTACCTGCTGTTTACAAATGAGGAAACCAAATCATCTTGTGAATTGCTTGCTCCTGTAAAAAAAAAAAAATGCTGGTAGGATAACTTTAGCTTTGCCATTACCAGGCAAGGGGAGAAGACAGTCATGTCCATCAGTTGTTACTGGGTCTGGGTAGTCAGCTGGTGTTGGGGTTCAAGAGGCTAAGACACGGGAGCCTCTGTTTCCCCAGACCCCTCCTCACCGTGGTGCCCAGAGAAAGACGGAAGCCAGGCGGTTGTCCCTTCCTCTCCAGGAGGCTGAGCAGGTGCTCCTGGAAGACGCCAACCCCGAGAGAAAAAGTCACCACAGCCCTCTGTGTTGTGGAAGTCCACTCCCAGTGGCCAGAGCAAGTTGATGCTGTCGGGGTCCAGTGCAATATACTGTGGACACCCCAGCAGTGCACCCCATGAGCAGGAGTCCTGCAGGGTCAACTTCAGCACCTGGCCCTAGCGGACAGCGACAAGCACAGGGGCCAGCCCCACAGGCCCGGATCCCACCACCATTACTGCAGTGCAGGCTCCCAGAGGCCACAGCCATCACCACCTTGACCACCACCAGCGGCATCACGGCCCAGCGCCACACTGAGCGCCAGAGCCTGGTCCTTCTGGCCCATCTATCCTCGAGCCCATAGTCTGGAGCGTCCTTCCCCAGGCTTGGTCCCCTGGATCCTGACCTGTAGCCACTCCCTGCAGCAAGTCCTGCCCCTCTGATCTCCACACACCTCCCCCTGGGATGTCTGCCAGAGAGGAACCAAAGACAGAAAAAATTCCCAGAAGCTGTTGCTGATAAGTATGCCCCTTCATAGAGCAATTCCAGTCACCCTTGGAATCTGTCCTTTGATGTCATTTCTTGAGACCTTCTAAAAGCCCTCATTGTACCCTCCTACTCTATTTAAAAAAAATACGTTTGTTGTGGTTTGTAATTACATCTCCTTTTTGTTAATTTAATGCTGGTCTCCATCTGTTTTAGTTCTTCATTATATTTCCAGTTCTTAGCAACCCTTGAATTCATGTAACCCAAGTAAATACACCAAATGTAATAATAATGTTACCTGCTGCCCCAAGGCTTCTTACCGGTACCCCCTCTCCCACACCATGCTAGTCTTTCTTAGCTTAATTGGACAATTAATATTTGTCAAATCGACCATTACCAAAAAATATTTAACTTTGTTTACTTTTAATCCTAACTATTTTCTGAGGTAAATGTGAATATTATTAGCCCACTATGTTTTTGTTTTACTTACCAATTGAGAAAGTATTTAGTGAGGCAAAATGACTCATTCCAGGTCACAGAGCTATGTGAAAACACACATATTTGCCCACTTTCTCTCTCCACCTCTCTCTCCTTCCCTCTCCTCCCCATCATTTCTCACCACTGCTTATCTTTGTTTTACTTCATTCTGCACATTGCATCCATCTGGAAGGAAAGAATTCTGCCAGAAGCTAAATTCACTTTGTCCCAGTTTAGCATCTCCAGCAGAAACAGTTTTATTGCCCCCAGTGTCAGATGGCAACCACTGCAGAAGATTCTGATTGGTTTTGCTTGAGTTATGTGTGCCTCCTGAACCAGTCACAGGAGCAGAAGTGTCAGCTGTGCTTGCTTGCATGTGTTTTTTATTATTACTGCATGCACACTCAATTTGGTATTTCTTTGAAGGAATTTATTTAAATCATTGCCCATTTTGTGGTATAAACTAGGTAGAAATAATCTGTAAATCCACTTAACTTGCATATGTAATTAGAACTACTAATATTTTCTTTTGGGCTACAGTGGTCTTGTTCTCTCCTTCTGCATAGTAGGTTGTAACATCCTTGTGTGTAGGTATCATAACTTCCTTTCTGTCCCTCCGTGTTACCTAGCATAGTGCTTTATAGTTAGTAGGTATCCTTCAAATTTCTTACCTCATATTAAAGTATCTACTTAACCAGCTAAATTTATGGGCTTCTTCATTCATTAGACATGTTTTATTTGGTGAGGATCTGAAAGTTTTCACTAACCTGAAAATAGGATAGACTATATCTTTATTTTTTTGTTGTTTAAGAAATGCTATTCAACAGTGCTAGGGAAGAGAAAGGAACCATTGAGTCTTGTGATAAGTACTTCTTCAAGTCACTAATTTGAGTCTCTATTATTGATGTTTTCTTTAACTAATTGATTTTTACTTTGTACCTCATTTAATGGTATGGATGGAAGCATCTGTGGGAAAAATTGCTCAGCATCATTCTTCACTCAAACTGTAGATTTTTCCCTTGACCTTTTTTATTTTTATTTATTTATTTTTAAAAATATATCTTTATTGATTTCAGAGAGAGGAAGGGAGAGGGAGAGAGATAGAAACATCAGTGATGAAAGAGTCATTGATTGGCTACAGCTTGCAACCCCGGCATGTGCCCTGACTGGGAATCGAACCCTGATCTCCTGGATCCCATGTCGATGCTCAACCGCTGAGCCACGCCCAGCCGCACCCCTTGACCTTTTTTTTTTAAAAAAAAAAAAATCTTTATTCATTTCAGAGAGAGGAAAGTAGAAGGAGAGAGAGAGATAGAAACATCAATGATGAGAGAGTCATTGATCGGCTGCCTTCTGCACGCCTCCCACTGGGGATTGAGCCCACAACCGACGCACATGCCCTGACCGGGAATCGAACCTCGAATTCCTGGATCCTAGGTCAATGCTCAACTGTTAAGCCATGCGGGCTGGGCCTGCCCTTGACTTTTGAATTGAAGGGAAGCAAAATGGCTGGAATCCATCAAAGACTGTCTCTGGGCAAGTAACTAAAGCTTTAGGCCCTTGCTATCAGACTGTAATGTGTGGTCTGGTACTGTTGGCTTCCATTGGAAGCTTTTACAAATGCAGAATCTGGGGTCTCAACCCAGACCTATGGGATCTACAATTTAAGGAGGTTCCCAGGTGATTTGTAAGCACAGAAAAGTTTGAGAAACACTGCTTTAGAGGTCAGAATCAGCTTCTTGGTAAGACTTGTTGAGCTTTGAACGTAACTGGTAGCTGCCGAAAGCCAGGTATTTACAGTAGAGATGACAATTACGTGGTACAAACGTTGAAATCCCCCAACTATGAACTTGGGAGAAACATTGCTAATTGCTCCTGGCACTCTTTCCACCAAGCTTCAGGATGTTTCTCCACACTGTAGTCCAGGTAGCTTTCATGGGGGCAGAAAAGTTGGCCTAAGAGTAAAGACCCATTTATCAGTCTTGCCTAAAGACCAATTGTTTCCTTAAGAATGCCCAACAGGCAAAAGAGACCAAAAGGAGTCTAGGTTAGTGAATGTTGTGGGTGTGGACTTTGGTTGATTGGCTAAATAATAAAGTCAAGATCCTGAGTTTGACCCTGGGCCAGCCAAATAATCCCTTAATTCACTCCTTCCAGTCTGCATCTCCCATCCATCTGCTCATTGTCTTGCTAACTCATCTGGATTTCCTCTCACTAAATTTTACCTATTTCTTTGAATTAAGCTGCTTCTCTTTAGCTTTCTGATTGGGGTGCTTGGGGAAGATGATATTATTTAACCCCATCTCCTAGAAACCCAAACTGACACTGACTTGTGTGAGCTGTGGTTGTCTTGATTCAGCCCTTTTGAAGCAGCCTCTGAATGCCTTATCAAGATCTGCTGTTTGCCCAAATTGCTACCCCATGAAGGAATTGGGAGAACAGGTTAGAGCCCACTTCCATTGCCTAGTTGAACAAATTTGACCTTGTCATAGCTCCCCTATAGGTAGGTGCTAAGGGTGTAGGATCTGAGCAACTTGTTAGGTTCTGGTTACAACTCCACCGCTCCCTGACATTTGACTCAGGGCAAGTTATTATATCTCTGTTCTTCAGTTTATTCTTCTGTGAAATAAAATTGTTCTAGAACCTAATTTCCAGAGTTGTTCTAGAGATTAATAATTATGCAAAATGTAGCCCAGTACCTGGAATATGATAAGAATATCCTACCACTAATGCCTGCTCTACTAATTGTGTTATCGGTGGAGAGAGCCCATATTTCCACCTGTTGCTTATGGGAATGGGCTTCTTGCCATATTCCAAGGAAAATAATTTTCTGAGACTCACAGGAGGATGAGATGTAGAAAGCTTTCTTTCTGTGGTCTCGAACCTCCAAGTGTCCAAGGTCCCATTTCCTTCCTGCCCCCAGGGAAGAATTGTAGCTGTGGCTTCAATAGAGGCTGGAGTCAAAGCCAGTGTCCAGAGCTGCTCTTCTGCGTCTCCACAGTCCAATACATCCGGCTAGCTTGGTTTGTGTTCCTAGCTGTAGTCAACCAGTTCATTGTGTGTGGGGTTTGCAGGGCCACATTGCTCGAGAAAACACAGGTGAACACAAGGAAGCAGGGACAAGAAGGGCCCACGAGCCAAGAGCCACAAGAAAAACAAACTCCTTTGTTTAGGGGATTATGTATTTCCAAAATTTCACAGGTTTACAGTGGCCCTGCCCATTCTGGCCAGTGATCTTTGTTCCCAGGTTTGACTGACAGTCACTTTCCCTAGTCACCCCAATTTCACTGTGCATGTGTTCGCCTCCCCTTTGTTGGACCCCTTCTCCCAGTAATCTGTGGGGAATGGGCTGATGGTTCCCTGGAGAGTGTGAAATTGCAGCTTCCTGGAGAAGCTGCCCAAATGGCCATGCTTATAATGTCCAGCCTCCCTTTTGTTCTTTTCCTATTATTAACAAGTAGCTAATTACAATGCTATCGATTTCATTAATAATCTTTAAGGAGATTAGGGTTATATTGGAGTAGACAGTTGGCCAGGATCAACCAAAAATTGCAGATACAATTTTCTTTTTAAAGTTCCCCTCCTCCCCACAGACTTTTCCTCTTTATTGTCAGGTAAAATTATTTTCCTAGTACATGTAAATCATGAGTCTGATCATGTCCAGGGTATTTCTCCCACCCCAAATTGTGTCAAATTTTATATAAACCAACATAGTTTGAAAAACTATAATCAACATACAAATACATCCAGATTGATCAAAATTCAGGCTTTATTATTGTACAATGGAAAGAACCAAAACTGAATTCCAAGCACGTGTAGTTAAAGTTTGCAGAGAAAGATAATTGTTCACAAAACACATTCAATATTTAAAGGGGGGGGGAAAAAGACATTTGAAGAATAGAATAAACTTAAAATTGTTTGCTTTTAAAAAGCCCATTTCTCCCAACCCTAAACTTTGTAATTTCATAGTAAGCAATGAAGTTATTTTACACAATCTAGTTAAACGACTAAATGGGAATAGCATTTGGCAGAATAAAAAATTGCATAGACTTGTGACTCCAGAATAGTTTTATTTAAATCCAATTTTCAACCTCCAAAGATAGATTGCCCCTAATAGACTTAAATATATGATTATTGGTATACAAAGTATGTAAAAAAAGAAACTAACAATTTCATAAAGGAGGGTAGGATGCTAAAGCAAGGAAAAAGCAGAAATTTCCCTTTTTCCATTTTCTCATACAACCTGCTGCTTCTGTTCTGCCTTAAGGCTACCCATTCACATTGGAAGTGGTAATGTAATGCTGGAAGGGAAAATTGACCAAATATTCTATCTTATCATTTCCGTGCAGGTCTTGATTGAGAACTTTACCAAAAAAAAAAATTGTATGTATGGGGAAGGGGTCTTGAGGAAAAATGTTAATGAGAATCTGAGACACGTATGTTCTACCAGGAGATGAAGCAACTCATAGAAGATGTAATGGGTTAACAAGGCACTATGACTAGGATGGAACAGATTGGGCATCAGACTGAAAAGTTTTGGGATTATATAGCACCTAGAATCTCTGATTTAGAGAATTCTCATTAACAAAATATATACTAAATTGTCAAGAGAAGCTTGCTTTTCTGGCTATTGAATTTTTAATACAGACTTCATCTATACAAGTGAGAGGGACTAGGAAAGAAGGATTTTATAGCCCCTTTTGCACAAGCCACTTTAACAGTGCGTGTACGTAGCTGGATCATTATTTTCTGATCCCCCATGCCCCAAGGAGGGAAAAAAATCACAATGAAATATGGTAGCAAAATTGGCTGACTCCTGTATTCCTATGGACAATTTAACTTATTCTTGGGAACCATTAGCCTATGAATCATGACCCATCTTGCTTGGAAGACGTGTTTGAAAGCGACTTATTAAGGAATGATAAACTCGCATATGTACCTCTTGCTGCTACGACAGACCTCATCACTCCATTTGCCCTGAGCTGACTGGGAGAACAGGGCACAGTTTTCCCGCTTGCCACCATTAGGCTGTGCTCGGTCCCAGTTGAGGAAGGAGATGGCAATTCCATTGACATCAACAAACCTGCCTTCCGTGACCAGGTCATTGATGCCCAACCAAAAGTCATTGACACCCGGCAGGCTCCTTTTCCCATAGTCTCGGAGGGCGTTGATTTCGTCCGAGTTTCTGGGGATAACCAGGGTCCCTCCCTTGGAAATGCAGTCTTCATTGGCTTCATGGAAGTGCTTCGAGCCTTCCGAAGCAAGGTAGCATTTCTTGTGAACTTTTGTGCCTCGAAGACAGACTGTAAAGATGTGAAATTTGACATATTAAGATGCTTTTTTGAGTGGAATAGATCCAGGACTGAACCTGGCAAATAGCAATACATATTTGTGGAATGAATGCTATGTGATGGTGATGCTGGGTGAACATTTATTTGCTGGAGATTTTGTATGTGTTGGACCTTGGGCCAAGCATTTTACATAAATAAACTCACATAATAATCACAACAGTTCCATGAGGTGGGATTTTATTACTCTCATCATCAGGATATTGAGGCTTAGAGAAGTTGTTACTTGCAACAACTTATCATGTAAGAATATAACTTAGCATGTAAGATTACAATTACACACACCCATGTCCATCCCTCCCTTAAAACATGGCCTTTAACCTCATGCTGCTTTGATATACACATGCTTGTTATATTGTTAGTGTATATTATATTAGTGTATTGTTAAATTTCCTTGGGACTTTTGGAACTGTAATGGTATTTCATAATTATTAAAAACAAAAACAAATGCCTGATTTGCATATGGAGAGACGGTCTTTTTCTTATGCAGATAACTCAGCCCTGCTAATATTGTTTAGGTTATCCAGGATAAACCAAACATAAAGATGGTTTAGGGCAAAGCATTGGAGAATCGGGCCCTGACATTTACTAGCTTTGTACACCTTGGACAAATTATTCAATTTCTCTGTGCCTCAGTTTCCTCATCTGTAAAATGAGGATAATCATAATGGCATGTATCTCATAAATTAAAAGAGATTGATTAACATGTTAATGTAGATAAAGCATTAACAAAACTCTTTCCCCTTCTGCATGCACATTTGACCTTCTCTAAACTTTCTGATTCTGTTTCCCTGGAAACCTGATAATGGGAATATATTACCAGTGTTACTAGGCAGCTTGCTTATGGTAAAAAATGACCTTGAATTGGTAACATTGATGGCCTGGGAGTTATAAGTACTTGGTTGAAAGCCATAACTTCAGTCTTCCATGAAGGCTGTAACTCTTATAATTGGGCAGGTCTATTGTGGGACCCTCGACGCTCTTCTTTTGAGTTGCTATGAGAGTATTGGTTCCTGGGGGGGTGAGCTTCGCAAGCAGGGCTGTTCCTGAACCACCCAGTGTAGCTTTCATGTCCTCATCCCTGGGAGCCTCGGTCAGTAGCTCCTTATAATGAGTAGAAGCTGCGGAGAGCTCTGCTCCAGAAAGAAAGGACCACCAAATACTGCCTTCTGTTGGCAAGCTGTGGTTCTAACCAGTGTCCTTCCATGTGCATTTGATGTATGTGGCCTGAGTCCTGTGACCCTGTGTTTAGTCGAATCTCAGCAGATGTCCCAATGAATGCTTCGTAAACATCTAATAAATGCTAATTATTTAAGATAGTTAATACTTCAGTTCTGTTTCATTGTCTATAAGAGAATGATGAACAGACTTAAAATGTATTATTGAAATGCCTATTTTTATTTCTATACCACCCATATATAGAGAAGGGGGTGGAAAATCAAACTGATTTCCCAAATCAATCGTCTCCTGACTTTCGGATCCTTTCTCCTGGGCACTTCCGGCTTGTCAGTATCTCTTTTAAGAAGATGTCACCTAGAACTCCACATGCACTCTAGCTATGGTTTTTTTAATTGCTGGCAAATCGCAATTGTGCACCTTCCCCTCTCCCTCCCTGCCCCATCTCCTTTGAGACAAAGCACCCATGAGATGGGGTCTTACCTGTCTGCAGGGCCTGTATTTCCTTCAGGGCATTGACTTCTCTCCAGAGCTTTTCAACTTGAGTCTTTAGATCCCCATCCTTTTCTGGGGATATTTTAGGGTGGGGTGGTGTAGGAGAAATAAAAAGCATACGATTAAAATAATATGAAAATAAAACAAAATAGAATAAAGCTTTGGAATCCAGAGCCTAAGAAGGGTGGTTTTGATGAAATGGAGCCTAGTGTACGTGAAAAGTAAAGCACGAAAATAAGTTGTCTGGGAAGATTCATAGGAGTTTGGTGGGGGCGATAATACTAGAAGTGCTCCCCATCTATCTCTCCAGCCCCTTCCCATGGGACTTTCCCTCCCTCAGGCTTCAAACTCCCTGACTTTCAGTTGCGTTCCACAGCAAGCTGTCTCATTTCAGGACCCTTTCCTTTGGGTTCCTTCTGCCAGGAACACTCTTACCCATCTCTTTACTGGGTTTAAACATCTCTTCTTCTGAGAAAACTTTTTAAATTATCCTCTCCCATTAGCATCCCTCTCTGATTAATCTCTTTCTTTGAGCCTTTATTTTTCTTCAAAGCACTTTCTCCAACCTATAATTATTTTGTGTAATTTTACCTGTCTGGTTATCCGGGATAATCCTGATGTTTAACACAATACTTGGCACATAATAGGTACTCATGATGTTTGTTGAACGAATCAACAAAATTCCAGGACTGACGGGGACTGTCTTAGAGATTAACAGTTTTGAGCTCTTCAAAGGCAGAACTCGTAATAAATCATAATAAAAATAAAAAGTGTTAAAAGCCACCATACCCTGTGCACCAAGAGCTTAATTATTTCAATATACCTGTGAGATAGAAACCATCACTATCCCCATTTCACAGAAGAAGAAATAGAGGCACAGACAGGCGAATTAACCTATGCAAGGTCAGCCAGCTGGTAAAGTACCAGTTCAGGATTTGATTCCCACTGACTCAATTTCTCTTCTCTTCCCATCCCTCCCATCTGCTCCTGCACAGTGATTGCCTTCACCTGCTTGGTCCCTAACATATGGTCTCAGACAGAGAAGATAATTAAAGCTTGATCAGAGCTGTCCCCAGATGCCTCTGTGGGCATGCCATATAGAAAATCTATGCTTTGTGCTGGGTTTTTCGAGACAGCCCCCAAATCCAAACATGCTAATTCACCATCCCCTTGAACATGTGTTTTGCAAGCCAGGTATTTCCACATGTAGGTTAGGAAAATGCCTTCTGGGGCACCCAGGGGTGGCTCCCACGTCTGTTTCACTTGATACTGCTAGTCAATTCTCAAAGCATCCAATAGCTTAGCTCAGAAATACAAATAGCCCAAGGATTTCCTCAACAGGACCATTCAATCCAAAATAAATATATTCAAGAGTGCAAAACCATTGGCTGTTGGGCGCCAGGCTTGCAAAGACCTGAAGACTTTCTTGCAAGTTACAAGTTGTCAACTCTATAAATGTCATTCCCCATCCCTCTCAGCTTCCTGCTCCATTCTACTTAAATAGGTGACCGCCACAGAGAAGCTGTAAACACTGTAATTAACATAAAGACATAAGAATTAATATTAGGCCCCTGGGAGATCAGTATGGGAGTCATTATCCAGGTGGCTTGGCTTCTGCATCTATCTTCTCTGTGACAAATGTGAATGTGTTTTGTCTACAATTAATGCAGGGAACAACTATTTTACTGTAAAAATTGTATTCATTACTGCAGCACGTAATTTTTTGAGTCCTAGAAGGTAAGTGCCAGAGAAATCTTTTGTTTGGAGCTAAATCACTCGATTACCATTTTGAGGTTTTGTTTTGTGTTTTTTTAAAAAAGACTTATTTTCATTTTATTATGTGTCCTCCAAAATAGGTACAGTATAGAAATAACGCAAAAATAATTCCAGAAGAAATGACCAGTAAACATGTGAAAAATACCCGAGCCTCATTAACAATCTAATAAATGCAAATTTTAAAAAAGTTTTTTGTTCTTTTGGTTAGATTGGCAGGGCTTAACCTGATGGTGCAATGTTGGGTGGTCAAGATGTGTGGAGATGGCCTGGCGGGGAGGGGCTCAGCGGTTGAGCATTGCCCTATGATCCAGGAGATCACTGTTCAATTCCCAGTCAGGGCCCATGCCCAGGTTCCGGGTTTGATCCCCAGCAGGAGGCAACCAATCAATGACTCTCTCTCCTCATTGACATTTCTATCTCTCTCTCCCCCTCTCCCTTACTCTCTCTGAAATAAATTTTAAAAATACGTTTTTTTTAAAAAAAGGTGTGGAGATAGACAGGCTTAGACACTAAAGATAGATCATAGATTGATGCTGTTATTTTGGGAGACAATTAGAGAGTGTGATTAACCTGAAATTTGGCTTCTAGAAATGTATCGTAACATCCTAGCGTGGGGATCAATATACATATAGACGGTCCCTGACAGGATGGTTTAATTTATGGCTTTTTGACTTTATAATGGTGTGAAAACCATATGCTCTCAGTAGAAACTGTACTTCAAATTTTGAATGTTGATCTTTTCCTGGGCGAGTGTTATTTGGTACCATTCTCTTTCATAATGCTGGGCAGAGGCAGAGAGCCATAGCTCCCAGTCAGCTTTGAGGGTAAAGAACCCATATTCTGTAGTATATATTGTGTTGCCAGCACTTTTTAAAATATTGTATTATGAGCACATTTAAGGTAGTTTAGGCTAAGTTATAATATTTGGTAGGTTAGGTGTATTAATTGCATTCTCAACTTAGGATATTTTCAATTTATGATGGGTTTATCAGGATGTAACTCCATCGTAAGTCAGCAAACATCTCTATATGTGTACAGAGCAGTTCACTGAGGCACTGAATTAAACAGAGTGGATTGAAAACCGCACAAAAGTTCACCAAGATTAAATGAGTCGTGACCCGTACACAGTGGAATATTATGCAGCTGTTAAAAGGACTGAGGTATGCCATGCATTGATAGCCACCCAAAATTTAACAGATGGAATTAGTTTGCCTTCCAGACACTTTGTATTGCTAATTCTTATTTTGTTAAAAGTATCAATTATTAATTGTGCATTTAAAAAACTGGGAATATTAGCTCCCAACAGTTAATAGTGGGTAACTCTGTGGAGAGATTTGGGAGAGGAAAAATGTCTTTCATTTTGATTTCATATACTGTTATTTGCAGGTAGTTAAAATACTTTCAGTGTGTGAGAGGGTGGGGAGAGAGCTGTCCTGCAAGTCTAGGCTTACCACTTCACATACTGTAGCATCTGCTGATTGGGACCGAATGGCAAAAACTAGCAAGCACTGCTTTGAGAGGATAATATTAAGATGTGTACCCAGTCAGTTAAAAAAAAGAAGAAAAAAAGTGTGTGTGTGTACACGTGTGTGTGTGAGTGTGTGAGCTCTCTGTGCCCTGAACTGCAATCTCTTCGGAAATAGCCACCCGGCACACTACACATTAATATATTCGTGCCCCTCCCCACATCCCTATTGGGCGATCACCACTGTGCCGCTCCCTCCCATTAGTGGTGAAATCCTGGCCACCAAACTGTGCCACATCACCCAGGACCTTCTCTCCTCCTTCCCTGCCCTCATCTTCTGCAATATACTTTACCTAAGCATGGGAAATATTTCAGTCTTTCATTAAATAAGGTAACAGGGCAGTATAATTTTTATAAGGAAAAAAGATTCCACTTAAGAAACCTTGCATCCGACTTAAATTGTATAAATAAATTCCCCTAGAAAAGCGCACTTTATAATCATCAAAACACAAGACAAGCTCCCTTTCTACCCACCAGCCATCTGTGTGGTGTCAAATCAAGACTAACCTTCTTGGTATTTTTTTGTGCGTTTTGTTATTAATGAAGGGCAGTTGATAAGGAAATAGTGTCATAATATTTACCTTAACATATCCTGATAACAAAACGACTCAGAAGATGAGATAAAACATTGCCCGGGTTTTCCCTCTTGCTTTGGTTTCAGCATGTGGCAAATAAGTTGCCATCACCTGTGTTATTTGCCGCATTTATTTTTTACCTCTTAGCCTAATTCAAGCCACCCAAAATGTAAGATTGCTCATAGATTTAGTTTTGCATTAAAATGTCTCCAAACATTAAATGACTTTGCTAGTTAAAATATGTTTAAGTTAAAGAGAGGTTCAATTTCTCTGTGACATGAAAAAGTTTAAATATATAGTATAGACTGTCCTTGTGTTACAAGGGATATGAAAATATATATACATGGTAACCAGTGACAAAATGGAAGTCACAATTACCAATAGTTCTATCCTCTACTATACATTTAATAAGATTATACTTATCTCACAATTATCTTTGAATAGAGTTATATAATCTCTGAGTGAAACAGTGTACTCTATAATCAATATGTTCTCCCTGACTCCTCACTCATACCAGATGTCCACATATCTGGGTGACTCCCTCTGAAAAACATTCTACGTCTCTAACCCCACCTGATAAAGGATATACAATATAGAAATTTTTTTTACATTACAAGAGCTTTTTTCCTCCCTGCAAAAGAAACCCCCACCTTATTACATGACTCTTTTAAATATCAAACTCTCCAGAAAATTAAAAGGTCCCTCAGTCCATGAAATGCCATACCCATATGATGACACGGTGCTGTCACCAGGGACCGTCTCCTGGAGGAGTTTAGAAGTGAACATGGTCCAGCCCCTCCCCACCCCGAGCGAGCCTAGTATTTTGCTGGACTGAGAAGCCCCGTTACCTTTCACTCGGCGTTTGCTGTGCTTCCTGGCTTTGAATTTGGACGTGTGGCTGGCGGTCTGGTCCAGGAGTAAGGTGATAACCAGGACGTAAATTACAAGTCCACTCTTTGCCATGGCTCCTGCGCAAGTCTGGTGGCCACTTTGCCAGCTCCTCTGAAGTAGCTAAGGGACAAGTAGACTGCACAGCCACATCTTGCTCTGGAATGCCAGGGGCCAGCTTTATAAAAGTGAGCTGGGAAGGCTGGCTGCAGTCCTGCTGACGAAATGTTTGAGTGCCTCGGCTGGCCACAGCATAAGGTGGCCCCTTGTTCTCATTCCTCGTGTCAGACTTTTCTATTTTAATCTTGGGGCTACATTTCCTAGCTGACTTACCTTTTCAGAGTGTGTCAGAGTTAACGAAGGGAGGAAGTATTTTCCTTTTTTTTTTTTTTAAATTGAAAGTCCAGGAAGCTTGGGGGTCTCTGTGAAAACCCCAACATTTAAGTCTTTCAGTTGGAGCTCTAGTGTTCACTAAATGAATGTCTGGCAAATATGTTTAATTCAGTTTCCAGGGCAAAAAATGACCAAAAACTAACAAACAAACAAAAACCCCCACCCCCAAACAGGAAAGTTACTGGGGGGGGGGGG